CCCCCTCGTGAGACACTCACCCCCTCGTTGTCGTCCTCCATCTTCATGTTTTCCGAGACGTATCTGACTCCGTCCACCGCCTCCTCCAGGTCGGCGTCCCATTGGACGGCGGGCGGCCTCCTGAGGTCCGAAAACCCTCCCCCCCCCCCCCCCCCCCCGGGGATGTCCCCCCCCCTCCAGCAGTAGCTCTGGGCCACGTCCTGGTTCACGTAGAGGGGGTCGCTGTCCGCCCGCATCCCGCTGAGGCTGATGGAGGCCCCGGCAACGCCCCCGGCAACGACCCCGCCCCTGTTCGGGAACGCCGTCGCCACGGCGACGCTCCGCCCGCCGCCGTAGTACTTCCGCCGGAGCTTGTCCCGGAAGTTGGAGGAGCGCGGGCGGCGCATGAGGAGGAAGGTGGGGAGGCTGGCCAGGAAGAGGCGCTTGACCCAGTCGGGCATGTGGTGCGTGGAGGGCGAGCGGTGGTGAACGTTCAGAACGCACGCCGTGCACACGGTGGAGAACGTGACCAGAACCATGGTGAACATCAGGTATTTACCTTCAGGAAGATCAAACAGAATTCAAAATGGATGCACATTGATAACACATCACATTGATTTCAATCACATTGTTAACACGTCAATAATATATTATTCTTTTTTAAAACAACCAGCAGCTCCTCTAACATGGACAAAAAAAATGTAAATACAATTTCAAGATAGCCTGGGAATCTTCTGTTTTCCTTTATCTTGTTAGAATTTGGCTATAATTACTCACTTTAGCATAGTATGCTATAACATGATTTATGTAATTTACTGCTTGTTTTATTCCTTTCCCTTATTTATTTACCTTCAAGAAAATCAATTGATTTCAATCACATTGATAACAAGTCAATAATGAATACAAAAAAACAACCAGCAGCTCCTAACATGGACAATACATGTAAATACAGACTCTGTGTTTAGTTTTGACATTTCCAGTGAATTTTTCTTTTTTTAAAAAGCGGTGGTGAACGTTCAGAACGCACGCCGTGCACACGGTGGAGAAC